AAAATGTAATCAAATTAATTGAAATTGTACTGTGTCAGGAATAATTACCAATGTGAATGAAATCTAGTTAAAATATCGTTATCATCATCTAAGTGATCTTGATCAAATTAACGTCATAATTAATTATCTGTAACTAATAAAAAAGTGTTGCAATCACCAAAGACAGTAACTGTAAGAAAGTAGCAAAATTGCAGGGTACGGGAAAGGTACGTTGCTTTTGAAAGATAATGCAAAAAACAAGATAACACTTTTACCGATAAAATTGAAAATGAAATTCGACTTCGAGCTATACTTTGAGAAAGCTTTTAAATGCAATGTTCGATTTGGAAGTGAAATGGAATATTACTTTTCGTTCGAGATATTGTTATCCTGGCGATAGTAAACTAAAATAGAAAGCACGGATGGAAATAGTGAATGCTTAACGCTCATCAGGTCACTGCAATGGCCCATAATAATCCATTAGCCATTATCTGATCATCTTATTGAGTATGTCTAGTCTAGGACCGGAAACCATCAAAACGCACAATATAGCGATGTATTTCTTGCCTCTTGGTTATTAGTGCTTAATGCCCTTTTCGTCAGTACTGGTGGCAAGCTGCATATCATACAAGAACATATGGTGCAAAAAGGGATAACTGCATATCTGTATTGATATGATTACATAACGATTTTAATAATAAGAAAACCCACGAATTGTGAACAACCAACTTAACTAAATACTAAAATTGCCCCCGATAGTGGATAGAAAACAACAAGAAAACAGAAACGGGCGCAACCTTCACACATGAGAATATAATACTAGACAACTGACATAAGCCAGCAATAAAGTAAACTAATTATTACAGAGAAAATAAGACTGAACATATAACATATGCAGAGTTATCGCGGGGAGTGTTAAGGTTCAACTTGAAGAGACTTTGACACACACACACGGAAACTAAAGTCTAGTCTGGCTGGGGTATGCCATCTACATACCATCTACAATCTACATACTATCTACATATTTTACACTCAGGACAGAGTTCAAATTGACCGGAAATCTCCCAAATCATCTCTCAGACCTCAGTACACGCCTCAAGGTAGAAAGGTTGGGCTGTGATATAACTGGGTAGAGCTGCAGGCAAGTTTATTCTCAGTGAATTCATCGGGAAAATGGTTTATTCACAGACAAAGGGAGCCATAAAATTGTTACAAATGGTAATTTATGTATCCCTCTGAAAACTAATCACAAAAAACTCTCCCCAAAACTACGCAATGATAAGCTACTCAAACCCACAGACCACTACTCACAGACCACTTTTGTGTACTCAAACACACAAAATAAGGGTCCCCCACCAGACTACCCGGACAAAATATGTAACAACAACACGAGACTTATACTTGAGAGATATATCTGGCGGGAGCCCCAATTCTGTGGGATCACGGACCCCGCCATGCTTGCCATGCTCCTTACATCATACAATCAAACACCCTTCTCCCCACACACACACCACGCACACGGAGACCACCATTAATATAGGGTCGGATATTCAACACTACTATATCCGTATTATGAGTGTGTTGATTAAACCATATAGACAAAGCCAGCGAAACAAAGCGTTGAGATAGATAATAAGAAGTGTCGCAATTTAGTTGCGCGTGAGAAGGTAGAGTGTGTAAAGGCCCCCTTTTCAATTAATATGAGTGTAACTCCGGTAATGAGGAAGGGTAATGAAGGTTAATGGGGCCCGGTTTAATATGACGTCTCATTAGGGGAGTGTGTGAGGGAGCTGCTTGATTATGATCGGTATGTACGTTCTTCCGTGTGTGTGTTATGAGACCGCAAGTGTTTCAATTATTCTTGTCTGGTCTGGTGTCTAGAACGGACCATTTAACCAGTCAAATATAAGTATGAGGGTGGTAGATATTACTGCTACATTTAACGTATCTTATACTTATCAAATGTATTAACGTATATATGCTTATCCGATATGTGGGTACTAGGTCTAGGTAATGACGGTTTTAATAATTTCAACACTACTATATAACAAATAATTTGAGGAAACGATATAACAGAGTCGATATATTTTAATGTTGTCATGGGGTGGCAAGTCCCCATACATCGTAGTCCGGTTATAGTTTCATTGTGTCTTAATATAGGACACAATGGCGGAGGACACGAGTGCGGAGGACACGAGTGCGGAGGACACGAGTGCGGAGGACACGAGTGCGGAGGACACGAGTGCGGAGGACACGAGTGCGGAGGACACGAGTGCGGAGGACACGAGTGCGGAGGACACGAGTGCGGAGGACACGAGTGCGGAGGACACGAGTGCGGAGGACACGAGTGCGGAGGACACGAGGGAGGTACTTTCTCAAAAGGGTGGAAACAAGGGCGGATTACATAATACTCCCTTTAACATGGACACGAAGGCGGGACCAAACACGGCCCAAATGATTAACTATAGTGATAAACTTGGAACATTAAACAATTTGATTTGATTTTACCTTTTGATTAAATATAGATTAATATCTTTTAGCTGTTAACATAATTTAGCCATATAGAAATTCACTATTCAAGCCCCAAGGATAAGGGTATATATTATATTATGTAAATTGATTAATAAATTTTATAAAACGGTAATAATAAATAATTTTTAAAATATGAGTAGAATTTATTTAAACCCCTTTGTAATAATAAATGTAGCCGGCCGATAAAAATTCAACGTACAGGCTAGAAGTTAATATATAATAACACCCTTCAAGCCAAGTTGTATAAAGTGTTGCACATAATTATCGAGAACGTTAAAACCAGTGTAATCCTAAGTTTTGCCAGTCAAGTCTTATCAGAAAGATGATTAAATTGTTGAATATGGCTTTATGTTAACACTTAACAGCTAAAAGATATGAATTATGTGAATACAAGTAGGTTGACGCTTATAAACAAAAGGTAAAATCTAATTGTGTTATCTTACAAGTTTATTACTAGTTAATCATTTGGGACGGTGTTTGGCTCCGCCCTTGGGCATTGTGACCATGTTATAAGTGAGTATCAACATCATGATGTGATCCGCCCTTTTAGGAAAGTAAAGGGCTATTTAGGAAAGTAAACGCCCTTTTAGAAAAAATACCGCCCTTATGTCCTCCACAGTCCACCCTCGTGTCCGGTTCCCGTATAACGACTGCTGTACGTGGGGCGGCGTTTAAACGAGATTCTAAAGGTGTCCAGAAGAAGCTCCGCTTTTTTCCCTCAGAAGCGAAGTTATACCTATTACATTAATGAAAAATGTACAGCTTCCTGTTTGATCTTTCTTGGAGCATTCCAGAGATATTTAAAAAAAGTTAAGTTGTGCATACTAGCCAAGTTAATCCTTATCACAAAACATCATGAACAAATCTAAAAAACAATTTTAAATTTCATGATTTCATCATTGAACCGCTTTACGGATTATAAACTCACTAAACCACCTAATTTCGTCTGTTTAATCCGTACTTGGTACAATCTCCGGCATTCTTTTGGATCTAATCAGAATCTCCCACTTAATAATCAATTCTTTCTCTTGGAAGAACAATTTGACCAAAATAAATGTGCGAGTGTCTTCATTCTGCTATAATATTCACTGTTCACGATATAATTGACCCAATCCACACACATAATTAGCTGATGGTTATGATTTAATTAGAGCACACTGATCCCTCGTGAGATTAGTATAATCTCCCAATTATAGTAACCCATTGATCACACTTTACCAGCCATCACTCCATGAGTCGAAACACAAAAGTTAAATGGGTATAGACCGGGTGGGAGGCAATATTGCGAAATCAAACGATATACTGAGGTCAATTCGCAAATATGCAGTCTGCATAGCGCACAGATTATATGCGACAAATTGCGGACTTGGTCACCTCAAGTCTCATGTTACTGCCAATTGCTATCAATAGTTGATCATATCAAAAGGAGTTACCCACCACCGCAAAATTGAGACCAGACTGAAATTTTGTACAACTAATTAGGATGGGCACAGCCCAGTACAGCCTCATACATGGGTCGGAAGTATGCAATAGGAATCTGATTATATCTAATGGCCGGATCGTTACATATTATTACAAAAGTGGTAAGGGCCAAAACGAGGCTGAAAAAAAAAGATCAACAGTCATGAGTCAACTTAAATTTTCTTATGGATCATTTATTCGTGTACTTCTGGAAGTGCATTCTCGTCATAAAATTTTCGACGTTTAATACCAAATTTCTAATCATTCTGGACAACATTTCATTCGCTCCAAGAATCCAAGCTCCCAGTCATGATTATTTTGAGGTTACAAGTAGTAAGTAAACTTTATTTGGGTGCTCCCTCTCTTATCTGATCTACTGTTGACACGATCATTTGTCAATTTCAGAGGATCAGGGGGAAAAAAGGTTGTTGATTTGATTCGAAACTTTCATCAAATAATGAACGACAATAAAATAGAAGCATACAAAAATCGTGTCATAAAGTTTGTTCAAGCTGCTAAACTATAAGATTAAGTTGGAGCCACAAGACCTACATCAGGTAGACTAAAATCACTATATATTTTTAACAATATGATTACGGTTTTAAATTTCCAGTATTAATCAACACGGGATACAACAAATCCCGGACTTTTACTATGCACTCCGTAATAAGAGAAGAGGTTGAGAAAATGGAAATGTCTGTTTCTTTTCAGAATAGGGATGAAAAGACATGATTAATGAGGATATGATGCTATTTATAGAATGATTACATGTGTGAAGTCATACTGCAAATAAGTACCTCTGATTAAATCATTATATCTAGAATTATATTGAAATTATTCCAGCGTTCGTCGACGAGAGAACTGAGCCAGAACTGCAACATATAATCTGAGAATCTAAGCGCTCGATCGATCATCGATTGTGTATATGGCGCATTTCTTTCCTCAACGTACGCTATTTTTCAGTTTAAAACCGAAATTGAGAAAAAATGAATGAATAGAACAAAATATAATCCATATAAAACACGTACCTTGAGCGAATCAAAACAAGCGGTCACGTGACCGTTCTCTATCGACACGTGGGCGGGAGGGTGAGCATAGCGACACTCGTCTGCTTCCCGCGAACATTTACCTCTCTGAAACTCGCGACACACCTGCAAGAAAAGGGTTGTTACTGGATAACAAGGTCACAAATTGGGTTGGGTTTTTAATAGGTGTCGGTTACCAAGTTACAAATGCTTGTTTATTATCCCGTGGTACCAGACAATGGCTGTGAGGTTGGTCCATTTAATTTTTCTCTTTGGATTATTGCTGGTTACTTATAAAGTCAAATGAGTTATGGTATATTGATATATACTATGTATATAGTTGGACCATGCTTATCAAAAATTCATTCATGCAATCGATACTCTAAGGACTTGAGAAATATCTTAAAAAGCTTTTATTTATCGTTTAAAGGCTTTAATATAATTGTAGACATCGATTTATCTCAGCCTTTGCCCACTCTGGTACAAAGATCATTACTGGGTTTATTATGGGGTGCTGTGGAAATGAAATCTAGGTGTGACCGAGGGAAGGTAAGTCTGCAGAGGGATATACTTATGTAGTGTCCTTTTTAAGATGAATCGAATACTTTGGTATGTCATCTGAACGTCGCATTCGTCTGCTGGGGTATCTCTATAAATATGCACCGGGGTTTCTATAAATACGCGACTAAACGGGTACGGAATTAGATCCGTGAAAATTCCGACTTGTACATATTTTAGAGGACAAGTTCTTGTGGACGGGGCCGTTTTAGTGTCCGTTCAGTGTTCATCAAAGTTGATCTCTATTGAGACCTACTTGGAACGTCGTTGACGTTCACTGAGACCTCAAATTCTTACATTAAAAGCATCGTATTACAAAGTCAGGGGAGGATCTTGAGATATGTGGCTCTGGAGATCATCGCTATTTGGTCCCTTGTTTAGTTACAATATTTATATCACTGACACTATAATATCAAGTCCACTATAACTATAATACGGATCTCGGGCTCGTTTAACTTTAAGCACGTGATGACCCCCAGACTACAGACGTTCTCCTGTCACTCCCATCAACCATTGTCCTGCAACTAATTTGGAGCCTAGAAGGTTCTAAAAGTCCGCAAGCTCCTGAATATTCAGTTCCAGAGAACAGAGAAGACAGGGACAAGGTGGTCCCGCGTGTAATTACATGTAGAGTACTCTATGTATATTCGGCCAGGTAACAATAGGGTGAGTACGGCTAACAAAGCCAGCTTTGAATATTATCAAGGGTAATTAGGGTTAAATTACAGCTTAGTCGCTCAGGCGGGGCTTACTCTAGGACCTCCCAGGGGATGGGGATCTATCTATAAGAGCTGAGAGTACAGGGGCTGATATTTGTGAACTTGAATATGGACACCTTCATCCAATCTGTATAAGTCTAATAATCATCATACCTTTGAGAGAATGGTTGAGTTATCTAGAAATTGAGATACAGTAACACAATATACTGGGGATGGGATTGACCAAATATGGTTAAATGACAGTGTTCACAAGAGTTACTGTAATTGGACTCGGACATGAGAGTCGTTGTCATTGTTTATACACCTGAGTTTTTAACAGACCATTCAGTGTGATGAACACACACATTCAGATCACAGGGCATTGTTTCACAGTGACATGTGAATGTAAGATAAGCCGAATTACAACACCCTCATGGACTATCTCCCCCCACACTGTAATGTACACACGACCTACACACGGCTAATAGTGATTAGTAACAGCGCATGTGATTAGTGAGCAATGTGGTGTATAATTCTAGGCTCGTGTTTGACATCAAGAGCTCCACATGGGTCTGGAAACTGCTAGAAGAGATTTCATAAGAGGATCAGGATCGAGGTCATTTGTATAGCTGATACTAATGGCCTATACCGATTATGCAATGCCTCGAGCCACTTGTTAACCTCAAACCCCCCTCTCACATGGTCAGACAATGCGGTAAATATATAAACGGAGCTGGTGGTGGGGAGCCAAACAAAGATTTATAGCGTCTCCTGGAGAAATATAGCCAGGAGAATCTAAGAGACCGGTAAATTATGGAGAGAGATGATTTATAAAGGCAATTTTTACGTAGAAGGAAGGCTACGTATAGATCGTTCAACGGTTAGTCTAGGACGTTGGATGAAATAATCTCCTTTAAATTGTGGTCAGGTTTGACCTCTACATCGTACACGCGGACCACCATTTGATCGGGCGGACCGGAAATGACTATACATTCACTCTATTAAGAGTTCTCTTGCTAGCCTTTATTGGGGCCAAGTTCCTTTTAGCTTGTTATAGGGGTCTAACGACATGGACATTGTGATTTGAGCTTTAAGAAAGGTTCCCCCGATGGTTTTCATGGTTCATGATTAAAACCATGTTGAATTAAAACAACACTGGTATCACACGACTACACTTGCGAGTCATATCATATTCGGGTAAAACTCTGTTTGTGATTGCAAGCACAATCACTTATAATCCCCAGCCATGACGAGACAGAACTTTAGGTCGTGAACAGGTGCAAAGGCCGTGGTGAGACTGTCAGACTGTCCTAAAGTCAAAATAGGGATAAATTTAATCAAGGTTACTGCACCTGTCATCCTACTTCCTAATTCTTGCATTCATATTCATAATTTAAAGCTTCTCCGAACTGACGTCTGTCACTAACTTTAGAACCGTTAAGATTTATAAATAGGCAATCAAAGTTATAAGGGGGTGTGTCTTATAACCATACCACTTCCAGTCGCTTTTCCAAAGCTAACTGGGAGCAGGTGGCCTTTATAGAAGTGCTGATCGATAATATACAAAAACTCTTAGGCTGTGTATATCGAAACTCTAACGGCTGTTTTAACTAAACCGAAAGGTGACGTAGTTATGGGCAAAAAACGGTTTTGGTCACGTGACAGGCTGGTTAAACACGAATTCGATTGTTTAGGGCTCGGGTTAGGGTTAGGGTTGTGGTTAGGCTTATGCCTATGGATAGCTTCGGGGTGATGGTTAGGGTTAGGGTTGGGATTAGGGTTTATGTAAAACCGTTTTGTTCGACAGCAAAACCATAAAAACCAAAGTCACATGATAATTTTAAGGCGAGCGAATTAGTAAAAGCCAGTTTCGACACTGAGTGCATCTGAAATGAAGTTCGAAATAATCGTCAAAACTGAAGTGCAAACCACAAAAACTCCAGAATGAAGGAGACGTGATTGAAATCCGTGGTGATGACTTGTTTATGTAAAATAAAAATGGTTGTAAACGTGAAATAAACGTATGTGGTACTGGGTACGGATTGATGTATATTTTAACAAACTACCTCTACTGCCAAGTCGGACCTCATCGGATCGTGCAAAATCTCCCTAGGTAACGCTCATCTATATTCAAACTCGCAACAAAAAGAGACACACAATAATAATGATTGGCCGGCCTCTTAGCACCCTTTATATAAACACAACATTAAACTGATGCAGCAAAGTATATGGTATTTGTGAAGTTAGTTCCCCGGTCCTCACCTCAATCATGAGCCATCTCCGGTCTCGTGTGTTGCCTTGCAGCGCACTCACGTTCAACATCACAGCAGGAGGCAGGGTGAGTGGGGATCAGCGGAGACAGCAGCAACAACAACAAATAATAGCACACAAATGGGCGAGGGGTAGGTTGATCCGAGTATAAAGCTAGATATGGAGATGAGTCTGTATACGCGGTTTAGGTGAAGCTAAGCGAGGCTCATAGACGAAGGAGGACTGGTCAAGATAGTAGTGAGTCAGGTATGAGAGATTGTGCGCGGAGAGTAGCTATTAAGAGGAACTGGTGACCTTGTCGTGGTGCATGGGTGTTACAGTGGTGGCAATGGGTGCAGATCGGCTGCGTGTTCAGTACAATGTGTGCACCTTCCCGTCCTGACGGCCTATACTAGCCACCAGCTCCACCAGTCACGTGACACAGCCTCACGGTACTCTTCCAGCCCAATAATCGACCTGAACGCTACACAACTGCTCTTAATGACGGTCACGCGCTTACCACGTGACCACATCAGGCTTTATGTGGCAGTCAGGCGCGCGCTCTAACTGGTCTACTTCTCGCACGTGACCTGGTTACCATTATCCCATTGGCGTGGAGTATGATCGAGCAGTTTCGGTATTATCCCTTATAAGAGCTAAGTGCGGAGGGAGCTGGGAGAGAGTAGGGATAGGAGAGCTAGGGTGATGTTCGGTGTTTTCATATCCTGGATCTGATACGCTGACAGGACCCCTCCACCAGTCCACCAGCTGCACTCACAACATTGACAACACACGAGCACAATTACATTGAACTACACACCCCACCTTAATGTCAGGGAGGCGGTCATGTGGAACACATACAATTACTCTGCACCGACTTTACTTTCATTTGTAATACTGGCTCTGTGTACTGGGGGTTATGAGGGGGACTAGGTGTCCAGCCTTTATTTGCAAATGTAATAAAGTTATTGGAGTACTTATAAGGTTATGGATGACATGGGTATATGCACTACATGCAAGCTGACTTTGATTTTGATATTCAATATCAAATATATGCTGGGATGTTGCCGGGTAGGAATGATTGTTATTCAGTGAATTTACCAGTGACGAGGGCGGACATTTTAGTTGCTGTAGAGCTGGAATCAGCATTGCTTGGGCAGATATGTGATTTGAAACGACATCTTATCCGGGTAGACATTTCTTAACCTGCTCTAGATTTTCTGATAGGTAGATGTCTCCATTTACATAACGTTGATTACATGACGAGTGATTAATAAGTTTTGTTAGTTACAGTGCGTCATTAGAAAATTAAGAACCAACCGTAATTGAGGGAGGGTCATTTTATTAAATTGTAACTCTTATGATTCAGATGTCTCATGTTGTGCAGAATTAGACAAAGAAAACAACTCTCATTTAAACAAATAAAACATAAAAACAGTTTATTTTTACAAAACAATATCATTAAATCATGAAATTTAAAATTCCAATAATCAATTTCAATACAGAGCGTTTTCTGATGAATTTGTTAATTATTAACTCTCCGCCACAGTGAAGATTGTTAAAAATGAGATTATTTTCAATGTCATTTTAAACATCCATGAGAAGGAAAAAATAAGATAAATCAAATGTACAGAAGGTTTTTAATACATTTCCTAATAGCAGTAATTAAGTTTGGGGCAATTCAAAATTGAACTAAACAAAAATCTTTTCTTAGTTACTAAATAAGTGGTCAAGACTCTCGCACTCAAAATCAAATCATTAATGCAAATTGCACAATTATTCAATTAAAACTTAAATTCGTTCAAACTTTACAGACTCAACAAAACTAATAATCGTAATATACTTACATAACCCATAAACAAAAATGTCGAAAATTGTAATAAAAAAGCCTAGCTGAAACACACTACACCAAGCTTGTGACATATTGGTTCCGCTATAATACAAATACAGCACAATCTTTGTCACCAAAAATGAGTTCTGAACAAATTGGGACAGATTTAGCTTCCTGAAAATAGTGGAACATCATTTGTTCGTCCACTTGCGCCCAAAAACATATTGTCGAACTTAAGACTTTCCAGCAAATATTGTTAAAAATTATGCTCTTCCAAGTTTCTGACTCTTTTGGCCACCTCTCTCTTTTTAAATCACATTAAAACTAGACAAAAAACTCTTCAGACTTAGAATCTGAAGTCTCAGGTTGACTTGTAACTAAATCATAGTTCTCACCATTCCCCCTATATAGCAGTATACTACTTTCTCCCCCTATCATCTCCATCGGAGGTGGGCCAGGGTCATACTTAGTGGAAACTCGGACAGGAACGTCTCCCAAACTCGGAGCACCGTAGTTAGCACTGTCTTCAGACTGATCAGTGGCTTTATTATTGTTCTCAGTAAGATCAACTGAGTCCTCAACTTCACCCCTGATTTCTGAACTGGCGACCACATCAAAAATAGTCTGGGGTTTAAAGATCTGATCAGCAGCGGATATTATCTTGAGAGGGTTGAGAAGGGAGGTGACGCACGGGATAACACCTTTAGAGAGGGGGAGGAGAGGGTAGGTGATATTACACAGCTCGGGGGTGTTGTTCTGAGAACCTGGGGATGGTGAGGTTAATTGAGGCAAATTGAGGCAAATTGATATTAGTCAATTGCAAGTGAGCAGGGAGAATGACGCACTTAATCACTTAACCACTTAAAACCGCGAGACTGGCCAGGTGATGTAAAGCATTATTATTCAAGTCACGCTCCCGTATATCCTGTCCACTATCAACTTATCAGTGAAATAAGTTTGACTATATTAAGGTGAGTATTACTGTAGTCTGTATTAAAGACTTTTCTATCGTAATTTGACTCACATTCAATGAACTTCTGGTATCGCTGAAGAGTCCTGGGAATGTTAACAGTGTAGTAAGATCTGATCTCTTGCTCAAATGCTGGGTGAGGGTAGTTGTACATCTTCACCAGGTGCTGAAATTAAAATGATAAGTGACGAAACGGATAGAAGATAATTTAGTCCGAACAAAGTATTTTATTAACAATTGCAACAAAAACTTCTACCGATCAAATAACGATTTAATTTCACTGCACTTCTGAACAATTCCAACTATGTAATTAGTTACGGTGAACTTTAAAGCAAACCCACATCCAATATTTTGAAGATGACCATTTCGTTATAAAGTTTGGCGTTATTCTCTCCACTCTGAGTGTCCTTGTACTTTGTGAAACCTGCCTGAAATAAATACACCATCAAAATATTACATATATTACCATTTATGAGAAGTTAGAGAAAACACTTAGGGAAAGGCGAAAGCTTTAATTGAGATTTAAAAATCACTTAAGGAAAGTGTTTTAAATTTTAGAGTTTCATATTTTCTATAGTTTTAGATTGGTCAAATTTCAATATCGTAGCTTCATTCCGTATCATAAACAGTATGCTGTATGAATGTACGCATATTCTTATTGGCACATATAACCGCAACCGAACGGTGAGCCATAATTGTGATTAGACTTCTAGTAATGACCAAATGAATGCCTCCCCCTTAATAGCCTCCACTGGGATCAACAAAGCAGCCTAAATAAGTATAACTCTTATTATCCGTACACATTAGTGTATAATATGCCTCTCATCAAGGCAAAATGGGAGACCATTGACCAGTCTTGGTTGCTTAGTAACATGGTAAAATAGTTCGAAACAACCTAATAGAGCTCTTATTTTGTCTGGGATTTGTTTTATCAATTAGGTAAACGTGCCCTTCGTTGTTACAATTAATTAGCTGGTTAAGCCACGTGCATTAACTGACTACGATAGGTCCGTGTTTAGGGGAATTAATTTAAACAATTAAGATTACTGCACGATAATCAGTTAATTACACGATTAGATAATTTAAATAATTGTCTCATCATACTAATTGCGCGATAAAAATAAAGGTAATGAGCAATTACCTCATTATAATAAGGAGTAGAGTTAAGAACAAGACTCTGGATAGAAATGAAAAGTTGAAGTAAGTTGGATGTTTTAGTCCACTGTTCTGTTCCTTTACCGGTCCATGTACCGAGTAAGCTTAGACACACCTGGAAAATACAGAGCGTGTTACTATCACCTGGGGCATGTTTATATGATTAGGATAAATTTAATTTGAAAACATACCTTAATGGGAACGGACAGGACCGTTAATAAATTGTCCATGTCATTGATCTAAGATCTCCTGCCTCTGGACAACGGTAAACTATTTCAGTATTTCTTACAATCAGAATCCAGGAACATGACAGCATTTTCAAACACTAACTCATCATTAAAACCCCGTCAGTACGGGTCAGTACCTTGCCAAGAGGGTAGAGGTTAGGGTTAAGTTTAGTCTGACTGTAAGCCACAAAGTGGAGGAGAGGAGGGGAGGCACTGTAGGTACTGGGGAGCTGGATATCAAACACGAACAGGACTCCCTCGTAGGGCGTGTCCACTGGACCCTCTATCAGACACGACATTAGATCCTGCGGGTGAGACTCATTCAGTAAGGCATGAAGGTATTAATTCGGTGTCATTTTGGCGGGAAACAAGTATATATATATTTTTTATAAACATTATTCGTATCCAATATTTTCGTTCAATGTGCAGGCAAGATAAAATTATGTGTAGTTTAAGTTAGCATTAACATCTCGGCGAAACATTCAGTGTCAATCATGCCTGTAAAAAGTTTAAACCCTTAAAGTTTATACTTATAGCAGGATGGCCGAAAGCTGCATCCTGTCCAAACTCTGTTGGCAGGTGGATATTAATGGCGAACAGTTTGATTGTGCAGGCAGAATTGCTTTGTGCAGGCAACAAGGTTACCAGGTTAAGCTTTTTTCTAAACATGAATTGTCTCTTACCATTCGATCCTCGTAAGCTCTGACCCAGATGCCATCAGGTAAACTACTGCTGATAAGCTTGATATCCTTTCTAACAGCTGAGAGAAATGCTCGCTGGTAGTTCCCCGGCTGTGAGTGGAAATAGTAGTTGTGGGAGTCCGGACAGTTCGGAATTGTCTTGAAACTTTGGCTGAAATGAAACTTGAGATTATTCATGAGGTTGACATATTCAGAAATATTCAATATTGAAAGTTGGATGATTTGGTATCAGTGGTGTAATGGACTATTCCATAATGGCAATGGTAATGATATTGGACAGTAGGCAGTGGACGTTAGAGATTAATACAGCGCGAAACTGAAAGTTTCTAATAGTGGACTGCACTGCAGCGCTGTGCAAAGTGTACTGCAAGACTGTTTTATGGTCGAGAAATTACCACTCGCTTAATCTAAAGTATGCGCTACATGCAACACAGTACACTGTAGTTTGGATAAAAATACTGTAGTTTCGATAAAACACTGTAGTTTGGATATGTATATGCTTTTCGCGACCTGCAGTCACACTAAAAAATATCCCTGAAAACGCCGCTTAATTTGTATATTCACACAGAGCTGGTTTAACAGAATAAAAGCATGCTCCATCCCTGTAGGTTAATAGCATTCGATCTTCGAAATTATACCAATGGAATGAACGTTTCCAATGTAATCATCCAGTAGCTTGCACCTAAGCCGTGATTTTTGGGTATTTCAGGAAAATTATTTGGTCGAGAAATGTCTACTTGCTCAATCTGAAGTATGCGCTCCATGCTGACAAGTGCTCTAATATGGCTACATCTGCTTTTCCCAGTACGGTCACATCAAAGCGTATCCCCAAATAAAACGCCGCTCACTTTCTATCTAAACCACTTAAAACACACAGACCCGGTTTAGCCTAACAAAAGCCATGATCCATCCCTCATTAGGCTAATTAGTTAGCAGCATGTCGCAGCTTTGCCCATCATTGCAAGGCACAACTCCCCAAATAATAGGAGAACACTGAACCTAGATGTGTAATATTCATCAGGCTGCCCCGCAATTAGTTACCATCACTTAGAGGGTGCTGGAGACCCTCGAGGGCGACAACAAACTGCGCGCGATTAATTGCGGTGTAGTTTGTAGTGTTGTGACTGCAGGTAGTCCGTAGTTGTATATCATATACCACTACAATTCAGACCATGTATAGTGTATATGCCACATGTAGCTACCCCCTAAATTGTAGCCAGCACTTTAATTATAGCTCCAACTTCTAAATTGTAGCTAGCTCCTAAATATAGCTCCCTAACAGGAGAGAGGTCTCGTTATAAGTATTACTTGGCATTAGTTGAACCACAGTGGTGCTCGAGGTTGTTATAATACTATTTAGCGCCGTGGATAATTCATAATGGTTAATAGCCCCTTGTTTAATGAATATTATGATAATTTTAAAATGAATATTTTATGCTATATAGCGTTATCGTGACATTATTTAGTCGTAGTCTGTACACAATTAAGAGTTACAATTAACATGGCCCCTGTTGAAGTTAGCCCCAGGGAGCCGGCAGAATATTATATTCTTGGCACACACATTTTTCCATTTTCCACGGTGTTCCTGAACAGCTGAGAGCAGGGAGCCATTAGCTAGCAGTTATTGTGACTTTGTATCCTAGTTGAGAGAGATTATCCGAGGTGTGAGATGGCTTTTAGGTTTGGGACCCGGAAGTTAAGTAGCCTAGCCCTCCCTGAACAATGCCATGCTTCACTTCCGTGTCACGTGACCTCACAAGTGCTTATAATATAACTATGTATGTAACTCCTTTTTATACTGTCGCTGTGTATAGTGACTATTATATTGATGGTTAAGAATGCTTTGGGAAATCACGTTTGGGAGAAAATGTAGAGAGATCTAGCTCTCATTTTCCATGTTTTTGCCTCACAGGAGATATTGTGATCTTTTCTAAATATAACTGTAATACATTGATGTAAAGTTTATTTGAATTTTGAAATAAATGTCAATTAAGCGTGAAACTTTCGCTGGTATTAAACCACCATATTTCCGGTTGGCGTGTTAGTTGTAGTGTAATGTGGATGACAAACATCATTGTAGACTGTAGGAAGATGTCAGTGACTGATGTGGAAATACAGTAGGGTTCAACTAGACAAAATATGTCACAGAAAGGGATCAGATATTAATCTCACTTCAATCATTCAATTTCTCATTCGAAGGTCGAAGCTTGATGTGCATATGATATGCAAACTAATGGTGTTCTGGCAAATGTGACCGTGGATTTTATACCCACTGTTTCAGCTGATTAGCTGTTCAAATATTTTTCAGATGCATTTCAACTCAGAGGCCCACCCGCCAGAGGGTTAATCCAAGTCCATTGGCGGAATCTGTATGGCTGTATTTGAGGCATTTTAGTCTTTTAAGGCACGATTGTCATGTGTTTTATAAAATCCGGTATCTTTCAAGCAAACTGAAATCAAATACAAGAAGAAAATCGATAAAAATAAACTCAAAACAAAATATCAAGTCTACGATACGGAATGATCATGTGCATGGCTAAGTAAAACTGATAACAAAATTGGATATGGGAATAATCTAATTAATTGTAATAATTTAATTAAAGTATCAAGTATAGTACACAAAAACTAAGAAAAAACCGCGCACTCTTTTTTTTCTTACTTTATTTTAACAAAAAACCAAAGCTACTTCTTATTTCAATCTGTCAGTGTGACTGAAATTTCTTGACAATCACTTTCTTGACCAGTCGGACACTTCTTTACTAAAGACAGTTGCGGAACATGTGTGGTACTAAACTTCTGTACCCTCTCACGAATTTGTTGTCTCTCCTCTTCAATGCTTACTTTCTTGTTCAAGAGGAGAACAATCTTTGGTATGAAGATGCAGAGGAGGAATGCCGAGGAGGTGACAAATATCACTATAGCCCGTAGTACAGATTGGACCTCTGGAGGAGAGTAAGAGTATCCCGTCAGGAACATGATGGAGCACAGTAGAACCACAAAGGTGGCACAAAAGATGTTGAGGGATTCCCTGAAATTGTGAGGGAACTGCCTCATCTTGAAAGCAAGGATCAGGGTTATGAGAAATGATAGACCTGGTATAACCATTGGAAGCATTAGATTGAGGAGCTTGTCCTCATCACTGGTGCACGCAAGATACCATGGCGTGTGATTTATTTCTTGATACCTTTTAAAGGTCCAGCTAGTACCATCTCCAGTGAAGAAGTCAATGATAAGAATGATGGCTGTCACTCCCAGGGCAAGAAGATTAATGGCAGTCTGACCTGTTCTTTTTAGGAACAAACCCAACTTTGGGGCTGTAAAATTTTGGGCAGCCGCGAAAATGACGTACACTTTCATGCATCTATAGAGTAAGTTAACAGATATGAAAGTGGCAAAAATTATGAAGGAGTAGTATTCAGCAGCGCAGGATATTTTCGAAGGCTTGAGAATTGATGTGTAAGCCACAAGGTAACCAATCAGCAAACTTAACAGCAACATGTAGAGGTATGCCGGGTCTGAAGCTTTGACGATGGGTCTGTTCTCGTTTCTGAAGATGAGAACACCGAAAAAAATGACCATTGCAACACCAAGTGGTATGCAAGACGCCCCTACTAAGAAAATGGTTGAATCTGGTCGAATGTAGATTTCTCCCGTCAAAACACAAGCTGTGTGATTTTCAGTAGATGACATGGAAGTGTCACATGTTTTGCATACGTTAGTGTCATATTCGGTGCTGTATTGGTTAGCCTTACAAGAATTACAGATCCAACAGCATGGTACATATTGTACACTCTCATCAAAAAGTCGGTAGGTGCCAGGCTTGCACGTGTGCGAGCAAGTTTTGTTGTACCCTGGAATGCTCTTCAACAGGTCCTCGTCTGTTACATCTATTCGGTCAAAGAATGCTCTTCCTAGCGATGAAAAAGTCTTTGTCTTGGTTCGGTACACCCCAATCTTGTACCCAATATTGACAGTCTTATTAAACATCTTCATGAGTATTGTAACATTTTCTTCGAGTCTAACCTCCAATGTTCGGTTCTCGTTCACGATTTCGTTAAACAATTCCGTTTTGTAATCCATCAGACAGTCACTCTTAGGTGCCACATTCTTAGCAAGACTGGCATGAAGAGCGTCCAATATCAGCTGAACACCGCCTATCATATAAGGGAGCCAGCTTGATGCTTCGCAATCCCAAGGCTCGTCATCATCCTTTGGACATCTGTCATTCTGAACATTCTCAAAGATGTCATCGATATAATCTCTTTTGTCACGAAGTCTCCAATCCTTGTTGAAATATTCCGGAGTTTGCTTTAATTCAGTATTGAGAAGATCTGGCAATGGAAGTATGATAGTATTGTCTCCAGAAGTATTGAGGATTTTTGTGTAATTTAAGCCATCAAGGTGTCGAAATCTTCCGTTTGATAATCCAAGAATGTAGATCTTATTTCGGAATCCTAGATTACCGACCATCTCTTCAAGCATCGCTGCTGTAGTTACTCCTGAATTTTGGAGAATAAGTTGAACCTGCGCTGGACTTCCCCCAGTTTCATTGTACGTCTGTTTTATCCTAGGAATGTCAGATACGGATGTAACATCAGTTATTCGTCCACATCCTACTTTCTTAACGTAACTGTTGTATATATGCTCTGCCATATCTTTGGAGAATTTATGGTACCAAATGTCCATGTACTGATAGCCCATCTTTTCTAGGAATCGTATGGTTATTTCAGCCTCGTTGACTTCCGTATCGATCATGGAAAATAGTGTCGGAAACATACCATCATCCATCAACTCTCCATCATTGAACAAGTAGACGAATGTGGGAATGTGATAAGAGGTCGTGACACTAGCAGATCTTTTGACAAATGATTTGAAGTCCACTCCAGAAACTCCAACAACTTTACTGTTGCTAGCCAGTTTGAACGAGGCTCTCGATGTAACAGCTGAGCTCATGCAGCAGTCATATATTTCATAGCCCAGAGTCTTGTTAAAATCTCTCTTGAACCTTTCATTTTCTCTGTCAATCACCATCCTCAACACAATAGCTTTCTGGATTCTGTATTCTTTCAAATTCTCGTAAGAGCAATACTGAACTGGGGCACGGGTACCGTTATCATCACTCGTATATTGAAGCTGACCTATCTGGAACAT